CGACTCGGTGCATAAATTTGTGAATAACTCGAGCCCGTTAAAGTAGGCTAGGCGACAGTGACCTGCCCGAGCGGTGATGGAGGTTCCTTATGATAGGTCGCGGTTCGCGATTGGAGAGGATATCCAATTAATGCCATTCTTAGAAAATTTTAATTTCGTGGACACATATGTGTTGTAAATAAGGCTTTGTTTCGTGGGGCGTCAGCGTCCTGTCCCCTAAATTGCATCCATAAACTTACTCAAGCTTGCCAAAGTGCACGATTCCTGGTGTTCGTACGTCGACGTGGCTTTCAATGTTATCCGACGTTGGCTGTTACGCACGCGCGCTCGCCCCCCTCCCCCTCCACACACACACACACACACACACACACACACACAGTGAGTAACTTCAGCACCTCCTGTAACTTTTGAACAGTTAAAGTTGCAATGCAGTTTTCACGGGAGTGCAAGTGCAGCCGAAGAATTTTTTTATGGGATCGCTCCCGGTAGAACGAAGAGAAATCGGCAGGATGGAGCCTCTACGGGTTAACACAATTCACATTATTTCAGTATCAAAATCTTTCGACGTGAATGATACAAAAACAAATAACGGAACTAAAACTAGCCATGCATTATGGTATTCATAATCTCTTGAAGTACTAATACAGTTCTCTTCAGTTTTCAATAGTGCTCTTTGGTCTTTAGTTTCCAATTTTGCTCTTTGACGAATTCTTTCCTCACTCCGTTTTTCGTTACAATAAAGCTATTCGCGAAAGTTTCGTGAATAGTTGCGTCAATGGTGAGGAGGTCGCGCTGGTCTGGCGCATGAAATATCGTGCCGGAAGGTAGGTGCTCCGCCTATTTCTTTTTTAACCAATGAATGTTAATATTAAGGGTCCATTTAGCATTTCCTCTTTTTTGGGGGGGAGGCGGGCTAACCGAATCCGGGTCATCACCCTCCATCATTCTTCCCGAGCCCGACGCGCATCTCTGGCATGGCCAATTTAACTCCAGAGAACGTTCGCGTTCATGAACTGTCGCTTGTCCTTACGAATTTATTACTCGACCTCTGCCTATCAGGAAAATCTTTTCACGATTTCCGCCGGTTTACTCTATCATTCTAAAGTATGTCGTGTTTACAAAAGGGCTCACATCCTACCCTCCAGTATCTGCACTTCGAGTCGAAGAATGCTCTTTTGTGACTTCAGGAACTTTGGTACTAGCTTTTCAGTACGGGCTTACGTCTTGCCTCTCGACGCGTTCATTGTTCCGTCTTGTGTTGAAAACCTGCGCTTTAGGAGCCGTATTTTCTCTTGGACCTATTGCCCCGACTCTCCTTCTGCGCGACATGTGACCTGGGATTGGCAACGGCTATTATTTGCTTGCGCGCCCCCTTCTCTGTCATGTTTCTGCGTCGAGAAATACGGAATTGTTTAATGTATTACTTGATCGTTTCGATCATGGCGTGCGTTATATCACAGCACCTTTATATTGCATTTAGTGTACAGAAATCTATAAGAATATTATTAAGATTTTCTGTTCTTCTCCTTTCAGACAATATCATTAATTTTATCTCAAACTTTCCCGCAACAAATGATGTGTAAATATTTACATTTTGACATATTTGTGTCCAGTTTGGAAGAGGAGGACTATTTCCTCTGTGTTTACCCACTGGCTGTAGAGTATGAAGTGATACACTTGTTAGGATTTTTTTATATACCACATAAGAAATTGTTTGAATGTAGAACTCTCTGTAAAAGTCCATGGCATATTATGGCAACCATAACCTTGCACACTTCAGATGTGAGTAGAAATATAAAAGCTGCGAGTTTGTGTTTTTTTTTCCTTCAAATCATAAGTGTTATCTGTGCAATGTTAATGACTACATAAAAAGTGTATATTCATGTAAATGTGTTGAGTTAAATGAAGAATGTAATTATTTATCTAATACTACTTTTAGTTCTGTAAATTTGAAATGTTCCTTGGGGATGAGTCTAAAAGGGTTTTCTTAGATTGCCATAGCTACATATTGTACACCAAGCAAGTTGAAAATCTCCATTCATTGGAAAACATCCACACTGCAATCTTTGATCTGCTTAATAAGCTTTTCTATTTATTTATTTATTTATTTATATGTTGCCATCTTCGCTTTTTTCTTAATCATTGAGTATTAAATATGATAGAAATTGACCAAGTTTGTTTACATCGACATGGCAGTGAAATGTCATTGCTCTACCAAAATAGTCGTATCTTCAAGGCAAAAAACTTGTTTTAAACGAGACAGTGTAATTTAAATTTTCCACCACTTTATTTGCTTCCCATTCATCAACAATAATCTAACCTAACCAATTGAACATGGGGCCCCCTTAAGTCCTATCCTCTTCCTGTTATATGTAAACGATATGCTTTTGTCAATTAATAATGGAAGAACAGTTCTGTTGGCTGATGACACAAATATTCTATGCGAAAAAGAAAAAATAAACAATGATTTTAGAAGCTTCAAGTTGTTTTTGTAAAAAATTAATAGTTAACAGAATAAAACAGTTTCAATGCATTTTTGCATCTCAAATCATCAATCACATGCTCTATTGAAAATTTAACTGTATGCAATTAGCTAATGTTAAGGTAACTAAATTTCTAGGTCTCTCAGTTCAGTCAAACCTCAAATGGAACATACATATAACAGAATTAAACACTAAATTAAGTTCATTATGTTACACATTCTGAATTCGTTTAAGTTCGGTCAACCTTCTTGCAGCTCATTGCATGTATTTTGCAAATGTACATTCCTGCCTGAGATATGACATAATATTCCGGGAAAGCTCATCATGTCCCTACTCAGACCTTTATATTGAAAATGAAAATTATTCTAACAATGAAAAAATGCCAGCCATGTAATTGCTGCAAGTCTCTCTTCATTGGGCTTGGAATCTTACCATTGCGACGCCTATTTATTTACGAATCTGTAATTTTTGTCAAAACGGACTTGCATAACTGTAGAAACATATTTTCAAGCAATTCTGATATTTATAATTACAACACACGTTGTAGTAATAATCACATTTATTGTCAGTATAAACAGCTCACTACAAGAAATCCACATACAATATGTGTATGTTACTTTACAACGCACTGCCAGGTGACCTTAAACAATTGAAGCTGGTACACAAAATTAAGTTAAAAGTAAAATCGTTTCTGCTGCATAACTGTTTATATACAATTAGAGATTATACTGATAATCAAAAAGGAAAATAATGTTTATTTTAACAAAACAATGATATATAATGAATTAGTTTACATTTGTATTGTATAATTGTTTTAAAAGATTTAATATGCTTGTAACAAATAATGTACTTAAGCTTCCGGGTCAATGACCCTCATCTCGGTCAGGTTTTTGTCCAGTTTCTATGATCCATTGAGCAAATGGCCCCTTGTTTTGCTTCTGGACATAAATGTAGATTCACTATGCGCCCGATTTGTTGAACTCTTTGTGTGTGTGTAGTGGTTGGAGTTGAGCTAAGGGTGAGTTGCTATTTTGTTAGCAATGCAGAAAAATTAAATCTGCGCTTCGTTTACCGCTTCAAATGTGTAAATGTAAATGTAAAAAAAGAAAACGTGTGCAAATGATCTTCTCCTCCATACATCCCATAGTTTTTACTGTGTTTTTGTTAAACAAATCTAAACCTACATCAATAAGTAATATTGCCTTGCAAGTTATATCAAAAAATGATAACGTTTCTCAGTGGTGAATTAAAACACACTCACAGGTATTTACACAGAAATATTTGTAAACAATTCTACTCTAAAACTACTTGATCTATTTACAGGTATATTACACAGTACTTGTTCTTCACTTAATTATTTTTCTTACACACGACTCCGTTTTCTTGATTATTTATTTGCACTGATCACTTCTTCTACTGTATCACACAGTCCTCTGCACTGTCCACGATCCACTGCGCTGACCACAATTCCCTGCGCAGACCACACTTCCCTGTACACACCAGGGTCCACTGCACTGCTGTTTACCGCGATGCACACTTCACAGCTCAGCTTCCACTGCAGACTGCTGTTCACCGCAATGCACACTTTACAGCACAGCTTCCACTTCAGACACACTGACGGACTGACTGCTTATTCACTGATTACATACACTAACTGACCCGCGGCTACTTACACTGACATACACACACCGACTTACACTAACTTTTCTGCTACTCACTCGCGGTCTCCGAAAGCGGCGCATTTATACCTGGCCGGCGCTCGTCTCGACACACCCGACACTTTCTCCACCTTCCCCCGCGACTCGCGAATAGTCTGGAACCGTCCAGTTTAGGGGGAGGGAAGGGGCGCCGGCAGATGACGCAATCCGCGCGCAGCGAATCCGGCAGGTGATGGAATATTCGTTACAATATGTTTTTATGTCTCTTGGTTATTTTATTTATTAAAATGATTTTCTAAAACACTGAATTTTTGGGCAACATTATTCCATAAAAATAAAACCATTTCTAACGTTGAAATAGTGATGCTTGTGCCACCAAATAGCAAGTGGTATAATGTCAGAGTTAAAAATGTATTATACAAATATTGTTTTTGTAGTGGTTTACCCCAAAATCTCAATTTTTAATTTACAACGCTATTTAGGAAGAGCCATATATATATATATATA